CCTGCGGCCCGGTGGCGTTAAAAGACCGGCCGACACGACGCCCGCCGGCCGTCACGAGCCACGGACAGCCCGGGCCCGAGCGCGGCAGCTGCCGTCGGTGACCAGCCCCGGCCGCCGGCGGGGCTCATCCCGCCTCCTCTCGTTAGGCGGTCCCCTCAGTGGCGTCCCGGGGGACGGCCGGCCCTGCCGGTCCCGCAGGCAGGGGCGGCCACAGCGCTGTGAGATCACCGCCGCCGCCGCCCACCCCCAGGGGCGGCGTGGCGGATCGTTATCGCCGGTCGGCCGGTCCACCCTGGCCGGCGGCAGTCAGACGACCCCCCACGCGCCGGACGCTGGGCGCGCCCCTGGCGCCGGCCGGCCCGCCGCCGTCTGCCGGCCGTTGCCGCTGATGACGTCCGTGGGGTGTCAATCCCTCGGTGCCATTAGAGCCGGCGCGCCGACATGTCCCGCGCGCGGCCGCCGAGACCACAACAGGCTGGTCTCGCCGGCGCGCCGCGGCTGCCGGCCGGACCCGTGCCGGACCCGTGACCGAGAGGCGAGGCCCAGGCGGCAACGCCGCAAACAACGCCGAGCTCCCGCTGCTGCTCAGCGACCGGCCTCAGCGCCCAGACGGGTCCGTGCTCCGCGACCCGGGGCGATGCAGAAAGGGCGATCAAGGGCACCTCGACGCCCCCTGGCGGCTATCTGCATACTGACATGGCCACTCGATGGCGCGGGCCGTCCGGCGGCGGCCCACCGCTAGTCTGAAAGATCTGCAGGCGCCGGCGTATTTGGGCACGGGCGGCACCCGGTGCCCGACAACAAAACACCATCTGCCGTGCTCGGACACACTCGGCCGCCTCACTCCGCAGCCGGCCCCCCGGGAGCGCCTCTTCATGCGCCGCCGGCCGGCAACAGGCGGCGGTGTAACAATTCTCAGTAAGAAGCGTATTTAGCAATATGTGCTAATGCTCACGAAGATTGCATACGGCTATGGATGTCGTACCAATGCCGCGTCTACAGAGGCGGTTACGGCAAGCCCCAAGGCCGCGGCATTTCGCAGCCATGTAATTGCTAACGGCACCACAGCGAATTCCAGTTGATGTATTGCATGGCCTTTCCAGATAGCACGGTCGTTGACATAGGGCGTCGTGCTCTCAGAGGTCAGGCGCGTCCCCAGGGGTCATGCGCTATCGAAAGGCCGCGTTAAAACTGCAGGTCAAGGCCGCTCACACGAGGTCAGGACCAGTCTCGCGGCCCATGGGTCGTGTTATTCTCAGAGGCAGAGCTGCTGACACGCGAGAACCAACAACCGAGATCCCGTGGGGGGGGAGGGGGGCTGCGCCGAGGTCAGGGCGGACCGAAGGTCAGAAGGGCAGCCTGGCCCGTCGTCCACCGCAGTGGAGACCTGGGTTTACGTCAGGTGACCCAACACCCGAGAGCGGCACGGACCGCTCGGCGATCGGCCCCGGTCCTGGCCGGCAGTGGTCCCTGGTCCCAGCCGGCGTTGGTCCCCGGTCCCGGCCGCGGGTGGTCCCTGGTCCCAGCCGGCGTTGGTCCCCGGTCCCGCCCGGCGGCAGTCAGGCTTCGTCAGGAGCAGGCGAGATCAATACTTTTTACGGTCGTGTGCCTGCGCTGATGGCCCGCGGTCACGGGTCGGGCCGCGGCCAGCGGGCAGCGACCAGAGGTCAACGGCCGGTCGCCGTCCGTCAGGGGTCGTCTGTCGACCTCAGGCCGCGGCGAGCGGGCGCCAGCACTCGCCACTAAGTAGCGCTCCAAAGGAGCACAAAAACAGCCACATGCCAGAGTTTGGCCAGTTCTACACCATGCGACGGCAGGCAGTGAAGAGAATAGAGGCCGAGAACATTTGAGCACAGCGGTATTTGCGTTGAGGGAGGGTAGCGCACAGTTGAGTACAACTTCGTTCCGCGCCATTTGAAATCGCACCCCTGGCAACACAGAACGCGAGCCCCACGACCATCGAGGCGTCATCCATTAACTTCACCCTGGCCCATGGGCAGAAAGGAAGCCGAGAGCAAGACCATTCAAATTAAAATGAGACGACCCCAGGCGGCACTCGGTTAACGGTCGTTCAATGTAATGGCTTCGGAGTGCTCAGCTCTCGGGCTAGTGCTAATAAAGCAAATGTAAAGCATATTAGCAATCTCATTTCATGCTCAATTTCATCCCAAATTCCAGTCATTCCACGAATTATTTCACTCTGAGCTCTGCGAGGTGCATCGCATCGCCACAGATTACTGAGCTCCGACAGCGCGGAAGGAACCTCCCGGACATCAGCGGCTGCATTCTCCTGCCATCTAGCGGTCAGAATGTGAAGCTTCCGGCGGAACAGGTAGGCAGGCGCGGCCTGAGGTGGACAACCGGCGGATCATGGCGGCGGAGCCTGACGTGGACAACCGGCGGATCATGGCGGCGGACACTGAGGTGGACAACCGGCGGAGCATGGCGACGGAGCCTGAGGTGGACAACCGGCGGATCATGGCGACGGAGCCTGACGTGGACAACCGGCGGATCATGGCGACGGAGCCTGAAGTGGACAACCGGCGGATCATGGCGGCGGAGCCTGAGGTGGACAACCGGCGGAGCATGGCGGCGGAGACTGAGGTGGGCAACCGGCGGAGCATGGCGGTGCGGCCTGCGGTGGAAAACCGGCGAATTGTGGCGTCGCGGCCTGTTTACCACGATATCTGTCACTGGTATGGCCAAGAACACCGTCACTGGCAGTTCTAAGCGACATACGTAAACTGACGAAAACAATAAGAGGGGTAAATGCGCATCGAGCATTTTTCAACATGTTCAGGACGCACTTGTTTCTTAAGAAATCTTCGAAGTGAGTCTTCTCCTCATCACCAGAACAGTATGGTGGGTGGTAACGCGTCGAGAACAGGAGGCTTGAAGCTTGAAGAAGGTTAGGGAGAGCGCCACTCAGCTTACAACACCGAGGAACATCTGTATGATGTACCAACAGCAAACCACATCACTGAACGCCCACTCTCCCATCGCGTTCGCACAATATCTGCATCCACGCCTGCCACGGCAAACCGGACCCTTTCTGCTCCGGCCAGCCACCGGATAATGATGTGGTCGGTTACTTGGTCCCGCCTCACTCCCGAATATCTGTGGCGTTCCACTTACATGCCTGTGTGCAATTGCCATGATTACAATACAATGTCCGCAGGAGACACAGTCACTGACTCGGCGTGGGGTAATGACTGGTCTGGCGCTGGGGCAGCGTGACTTCATCATTACCTCGTTCTCTCCACCTCATCATATAACTCCAGCAGTGGCCGATACCTACCTTAAGACGCTTAAACTGAACCGAGACAAGCCAAACGAAACTGGCTCAGAAACCCGCACCGCAGACCACAGACAGGGACGACTTTGCTTGAACTTGGCATCACAGCTGGGCATCAGAGCATCAACGCCACAATACCTCGCGCGTCTCCCGTCCGTCTCTGCAGAGCGGAAGCGGCCGCTGAGCCGTCGCCGAACAAAGCGCCTCCGGCGACAGCACGCTCCACCGACCGCACCTCTCGCAAAACGCCCACCGGTCCGGGCGACAATGCAGCCGGAGGCGAGGGACGGAAGACGCGCGGCGGTCGGGAGCCAGACACAGAGCAGGGACCGAGAACTTCCAAATGCTCGCGTGATTCACCACCGGAGCGGGGACTGGCGGGAGAGTGTGGACCGGCGCCGCGGCCGGCTGGGAGGTGTGGGTGAGAGCCGCGGCCGGCTGGGAGGTGCGGACCGGCGCCGCGGCCGGCTGGGAGGTGTGGGTGAGAGCCGCGGCCAGCGCCGCGGCCGGCTGGGAGGTGTGGACCGGCGCCGCGGCCGACTGGGAGGTGTGGACCGGCACCGCGGCCGGCTGGGAGGTGTGGACCGGCGTCGCGGCCGGCTGGGAGGTGTGGACCGGCGCCGCGGCCGGCTGGGAGGTGTGGACCGGCGCCGCGGCCGACTGGGAGGTGTGGACCGGCACCGCGGCCGGCTGGGAGGTGTGGACCGGCGTCGCGGCCGGCTGGGAGGTGTGGACCGGCGCCGCGGCCGGCTGGGAGGTGTGGACCGGCGCCACGGCCGGCTGGGAGGTGTGGACCGGCGCCGCGGTCGGCTGGGAGGTGTGGACCGGCGCCGCGGTCGGCTGGGAGGTGTGGACCGGCGCTGCGGCCGGCTGAGAGGTGTGGACCGGCGCTGCGGCCGGCTGGGAGGTGTGGACCGGCGCTGCGGTCGGCTGGCAGGTGTGGACCGGCGCCGCGGTCGGCTGGCAGGTGTGGACCGGCGCCGCGGTCGGCTGGGAGGTGTGGACCGGCGCTGCGGCCGGCTGAGAGGTGTGGACCGGCGCTGCGGCCGGCTGGGAGGTGTAGACCGGCGCTGCGGTCGGCTGGCAGGTGTGGACCGGCGCCGCGGTCGGCTGGGAGGTGTGGACCGGCACTGCGGCCGGCTGAGAGGTGTGGACCGGCGCTGCGGCCGGCTGGGAGGTGTGGACCGGCGCTGCGGCCGGCTGAGAGGTGTGGACCGGCGCCGCTGCCGGCTGAGAGGTGTGCGTGAGAGCCGTGAATGGCGGACCCCCTACGACAGGTATCCGTTCATACAGAACTGAACAGCCGGCCACTGTCGCAGGTCAGGTAAGCGACAGCGGATGGCTGGCCGCCAGCTACGGACCCAAACATGTCGGTGGGGCTGCCGGCGCCTTGCAGGCCCCGGTGTGCCTCCGGCGCTGAGCGCGCAGACTCAGCGCGGCGCCGGTCACAGGCGCCGTCCGAAGCCGGCGAAGCTCCGAAGCCGGCGAAGCCCCGAAGCCGGCGAAGCCCCCTCACCCGGACGGTATCACGCCGAGGGCGCCACTGACCTGGTCTCTCTAGCAGGACGACGGCGCTGGATGGGAAGCTGCCGGTGCGGGACGTGTAGTTACTCTGCAGAATGACGCCTCGCCACCGGCCGGTGCGACTCTGCTGCAGCACCTGAAACCACAGCCGGCCTCAGTCAGCCCGGCCCTGCTGCAGCACCCGAAGCCAGAGCCGGGCACACTCAGCCCGGCACTGCTGCAGCACCTGAAGCCACAGCCGGGCACAGTCAGCCCGGCCCTGCTGCAGCACCTGAAGCCACAGCCGGGCACACTCAGCCCGGCACTGCTGCAGCACCTGAGGCCACAGCCGGGCACACTCAGCCCGGCACTGCTGCAGCACCTGAAGCCACAGCCGGGCGCAGTCAGCCCGGCCGTCAGCCTGAGCTCGCGGCTCGACCTCATGTCAACGCCCCTCGCCACACCGCCATTGCCACTACCCACCAGCATCAGATTCGATGGCATGTTGTTGGCAGTGGTAATACGAGCCAACTCAGTACTTATGATGTTCGTTTTCTTCTGCAGGTATGCGTGAAATCGCAAGGACGCACGGACATACCGGCACGTGAAATGTGCACAAGCGGTCCTTTGAAAAGGTCGGCGGTCACAAAGGTTCGCGATTGTATCACCGAGTTTAAACACGATTGGGCTTTTTTGAAGACCCAAAAACAATCAAAACCCCGAACACTATTATCTGAACACTCGTTACGCCACAGATTGTGGTACGCGCGCACTCCGTGACAACTGGAGTGATATTTGCCCAAAAATAGCTGTTATGGTTTACCTGTCATCAGCAATAGCCCATCGGAACAGGAACGCATGGTACGAGGTCTATACGCGCCAAGAAAAGCCCATCTCATGCTCCGCTAAGTCTAAGTGCACCTCTAGTTTTCGTGCAGCTATGGACGCTACGAAAATGACCCATGAATATAATTCATGGAGCAATAAATCCGGTGCGCGGTGGGTGCAACCCTGTATATGTCAGCTTGGCACTACCTCACTATTACAAGCGACAGTAACACACACCGAGGTCGGCGTCCGAATCAAAATGAAGCCGTTCGTCATGATACTCGGGTAAATCAAACTGACAGCAACACAGGAAGGCACATGGTAACGTTGACAGCTTGATGTCCGCGCATTATGAATGCATGGCTCAGATAAGGTGGCTGGCAGAATGTGCAACCACGGTGGTCCCAGCATGGGTTGATGTTCGTCAGCATGAAACAAAGTCAACTGCACATGAGCTATGACCTCCATGCTCAGTGCTCACCGCACTACCACATTTCTGCGAGCTCCACTCGGCGTAGCGAGGACAGGCGCACACGCAAGTACGAGCACGCGTGTGCGCCTGCGACCTTCGCACCCACGTCGTCAGAGCCGGAGGCCCCCGACACCGAGCGAGGAGCGCCGATGGCGGCCACTGGCCCGATCTTCCTTACGCAACCACTGCTAACGCCATGGCAAACGCGAGTCACTCACAATTCTGGCCTCCATTGCTGCACGTCCGGCGCGAGCCAAACACGAGGCGAGCAGCCCCTCGCGGGTCCCCGGCTGGTCCAGACGCGGCCGTACCCGGACCGGCAGATGGTCCGGCTGGCTGGCCCCGAGCGGACCGCTGTCTGAGGCCGGAGGCCCGCTGAGGTCGGCCGCGCGCCCAGCTCCGGTTCGGTGGCGCCACCCGAGACGCACCTGACCGCCGGGCGCACCGGAAGCCGGCAGGAGCGGCGCCGCGGCCCCGGCAGGGACGGACGGCGGGGCGGGCCTCCGGGACGAACGGCGCGGTCAGACCGCTGTTGTCCCTCGCTGCGGACAGCGCTTTGGCCGGGTCCCGGAGTCCCAGGGTCCCGGAGTCCCAGGGTCCCGAGTCACGGGTCCGCCGCCGGTGCTCCGCGCCGCGGGTGATGCCCGGCCCGCCGGACCCGCCCGGCGGTGGACCCGTGAAGACGGCGGCGGTCCCTGGCGACGCCCCGGTCCGCGCGCTGACATCAACCTGGCCGGGCTGCGCCGCGTCCGGCCGCACCCCGTGACCCGCCGCAGGGTCGGCGGCAAGGACGTGCCGACGCCGCCGGCCATAGACCCGGCGACTGGCTGGCGCGTGAGAACGACACCCCAGCACCGGAAGCACCGGCCGGTGGACGTGGTACACCTGGCCACGGTGTCACCCACCGCTGCCTGAGTGCCACCACAGCCGCAGTGCTAGAAACGCATGAAGCCGGCAGTTTGTCACGGAATGGCTCGTTCTTCTTCAACCCGTGTTTCGTGTTATACTTTTTGGAAACAGCATTACAGCAGCCTCAGCAGGTTATACAGGCTAATGCAAATGTCGTTGATGTTGCTGAACGTTTCTTTTTTCTATTGCTTCGAAGGATCGTCAGACCTAGCGCGGATCTAGTACAGAAAACAAAGATCTGAGATAGAATCTCTGAGATATCCGAGAAAGCTCCAACGTAATCCGACATTACTCCACCCAGGGAGGGATCTGACTCAACGGGGAGGGGAAGGGGAGGGGCAGATGAGAGGCGCCCCGGAGCGTGATACTGACGTAACGAGCCCGGTGAGTGGCGTAAGCACCGACGTCAGCTGAGCCAGACGGCAACGGTTCGTCCTTCATGTAAATGGCTCTGGCTCGTAAATAGCTCATGAATCTGTTCCTAAAACATTAATGCAGTCAGTGCCATGGAACCCATGTAGCCATGAAGTGTCTCCTCATCATTTGTCTTGGAAAGACTTCTGCTTTTTGACACGAATTATGATCTAAACCGATGAATCTGAACCCATATGAACCCATATGAACCCATATGAACCCATCCACTGACCTCTACGTGGGTAATCAAGAGCACCCAACCCAAGAATACCGCTGTGTTCCGGGCCATGCGATCAACAAAGCCTTCCGTTTCTAAAGGTTTCTCTCCAAGAGCTCGGAAAGACACAATGGTTATCAACACCCGAACAAAGTTACGAGGTTGTTCAGTGCATTAGCGAGGAACATGGCTCACAAACATGAGACAGCAGTACCAGCCTTAGTCCTCGGAGAAAAAAAAACAGGAAAATGGAAATATAGATCACATTTTTCCGTTCTCCTGATTTTATCCGAGGAATAAGGCTAATACTACTGTTTTAACACCTGAACAAATCGACGCGTCTGAGAAACAATGCTCCCGACGCGTTTGAGAAACAATGTTCCCTAAATACTGTTTTAATGTGTGCGTCACTTATGTAGATATATAACTTCCACCTGAGCGACTAAAACCGGGATGGCAGAAATCGTAAAGCAATCACTGACTGATTTAAAGGGCAAAAATTGTCATTTCGCAAACACGAAGAGTTAACAAATAACACAGACAGATTCAGCTCGCTTGCAAAGCAGCTTGCGGTGGGAAAAAACGCAAGCACAACTCCCCACGTTGTCGTATTATCCACACCGGGATGAGGCGGGCTGTCTCATTTGAAAAAGGTGCATTCAGAAGTTGTTTACCAAAAGACAGAGAGGTGCTCTCCAAAAATGTACTAATGCCCATCAAGCTCGAGATTATAGCTGTCTGTAGATAAAAAATCTAATTATCATCCCCAGTAGTTACAACAGGAGGAAACTCAGAGTGAAAACTGCTACAACTCTCCGAATTTTCCTCTTACTGTGAACTACAGGAAAACTCAGTTCAAATCCATCCTTTTCAAAACTTCTTTCTTCAAAGCCTCCTTAGTTCAAAGCTCCATACAAATATGAAATAATCCCTCAAAGAATCGCTCACCTCAAAACAATCCAGTACATAACCAAATGCATTGAACACAAAACAGTCCACCATTGACGCCATGCGGGCAGGAGTATAGGAGAGCTACGGCCGTGCTGGCAGGTTGCCGTGCCGGCTCCCCGACGGACGTCCCAGTCTCGGCGGCCCCCGCCGCCGGGCGCCGACCGGTTGGACGCCGGCGTGGGCGACCACCGTGGGCGCCGACTTCACCGACCCGAGTGGCCTCGAGAGGCTCGGCGCCGGGGCTAATGACCTAGCCCGGAGGACAAGAGCTAATTTACCGGCGCTAAATTGGCGCTAAACTGCGCCGCGCTCATCGGTATCTGCCGCGGCGAGTTGCTCAGCGAGTGCGTCATGTGACGCTAATCAAGACGCATGCTGCGGCTAAGCGGCCACGGCCGGCCGTCGGAGATAGGCCAAATCTCCGACCGAAATTGGAAAAGTTGACTGGATGGTGCACGTTAGGCCGTGCCGTGGTGTCGGAAGTCGGAATCTGACTGAAGGGGATTGGGCAGCGCGCGGCTGCGACGGAGCATCCCCATCGGTCTCGGAGTCTCCCCCCACCGGTCGCCGCGCTCTCGGACGCCCTTCTGCTCGGGCACCCCCACCCGGGAGCCTCTGCATGGCGTCTACCTTCCAGGCGTCTACCAGCGGGAGCGTCCGCTAGCTGCCTCTGATGCGCTCCGGAGAGGTCACGGAGGCTGCCAGGTGCTGCAAAACGCCCCCGTCTTCCTGGACCGGCGATGTTGACCCAGGTCTTCGGTGGTAAACCCTCGCAAACTTCACCAGTTGGAAGGACATCACCTGGTTGGGCGGTCCACAGAGTCCACCAGCGTTGTTGTGGTCTTCCGACAGCAGTGTCCGGACGTCTGCAGCTTGCCTGAGACGTACCGGCATCCGCAGATCCTCTGGCAGCACATACGTGCGGAGACCGTGTGTGGCGGTCCACTGAAATCCTTGTCTATTCTCTTGTCCTGCGGTGTCTGCTAGAAGTTCTGTATTGCTCATCCACCAGCTGTTCCTCATGTCCGCTGGTGATTAAAGGCGTTCTGCTGTTATCCACTAATGGTCCATGTGTCTGCCGTCTGCGCCGGACACCAGCCTGGGGACCTGTCGTAGCCACGCAGCCCGCAGGACTACCCCTGTCGTGCCTGGTCTCCTCGGGTGTCTTGTGTTATCTGCAGAAGTGCACCTGGCGAGAGTCGACAGAGGCACCGCTGGCCATCCTGAGTCGCTCTCGCAGCCCTGCGCGGCAGAGTCAACAGACACCGCTGGCCATCCTGAGCCGCTCTCATAGCTCTGCGCGGCAGAGTCAACGGAGACACCGCTGACCGTTCTGAGCCGCTCTCACAGCTCCGCGAGACAGAGT